TGCCTTTTCTGTCCGACTAGTTGGGTGATACTAGAACAATTAGACCCTTCGCCCTCAAGGGCCACGGGTCTAATTGTTAATTAGTCAACCTAGATAAACTCGAAGGGAAATATGCTAAGTAGCTTTGCGCGCAACTGCAGTAAAACCTTCTGCGCAATGCGCATTCCATTACGTTGGTCTAATTGACAGTTTGACAGTGAATTAATGGATCATGTGGTTGTCCCTTTAAAAGGAGCGTGACGAGTGAACTCCTTGGCTTTAACAGAAGACCACTTTCCAGGATCAACCTGGGCCTTGCAAGATTGTCTTGGAAATCCGCGAGAATCCTTTCGACAGCGATATCGTACACTAACAGAACATGGACGGGGACTATGTTCCAATTAGTGTTGCTGTTAACTGGGCATTTACAGTTCGAGCCGTTCTGAGTTAAGGCAATGCATGCATGAAAATTTCCGTGCAACGCAACTATAACAACACGGATTCTTGTGCCAGGCTTGCTTGGAACGTTTGACTTACTGTTCATATAGCGCGGGGTAATCAGATAAGGGAAAAAGCAAGCCTGAACGCAGACAGAAAACACAGTCTGGGTCTGAATTTTCTTGATCTTTTAAGGAGCTTGACGTTACCTTTACGCTCGTTTGTAGTTACTTGTACAGTATTGACAGTGGCAATAAACTGATTCTTTTTCTTTGAAATGCAGGAGAGCACAAAGTGACTTTGGCGATATACAGTGGTGTTCCTGATCCTGATTGATCGGTTCACTCTCGTCATGACAGGTTCAAAAGAATGAAAGAGCATCTGTACCGCGCCAGAATCACAGGGAATATTTACCGCCATCAGCACATGCCCGCCATTCTTGGCCACAAAGGTTTCCTAGTGCATCTACCACAGGCCGAGGAAGCAGAATTGGTTGTAGGCCAGGAGACTAAGGAGCTACCAAAGCTCTTGCTTGAAACCATGCCAGAAGGTTTGATATCGGAGGCCTTGCGTCAGAAGATTTTGCAGGCAATTGAATTGACAAATGTGCCTAATCCTTCAAATGCGTCTCTTGAAGCCCAAACGGCTATGCTCCAAGAGGTTTCGCAAACTCCCAGTAGAGGATATAAAGCGGAGAAAATTCAGCATTATGTACCTAAACTCAACCTGGATCGGTGGAACAGTTACCCTCTTGTCCTAGGGAACAACAACTGCTACAACTATGCAAATGACAAAATCACCAACAGCTTTGCACAGCCTGGTAGAGCCAGTGGTCATCCAATTGGTCAAGTCACTCCAGAAGAGTTGCTTCAGCCTTCCGAAAGCGATGGTTTAGTGAAATTGGATGTTGGACCAGATGATCCTTGCCCCGAAGCACCTGAACAGCCTAACTGCTTAGTGGCACTCTTCGTTGACCCAGGTTAGAAGAGAATTTATTCTTTTATCTAATTTTACTGTCAAAATAACATTGCAATTGAGAAAATCATGAAAGTAGAGGATTTGATTTCTTTTTGAATGATTAGTGGGAGAGATTAAGGCACTGTCACACGGATTTAACTCTTTTGGGTGAAAAATCTTTTAAATCACTTCTTCGCATAAAGTGCTCCCCAAAAATTTGCATAGTTAAAAGAAGAGAAATAGACAATCAATTTCTGGTTTAGAACTTGAAATACTGGCCAATTTGTTATGGTCTGTTGTCACCCTTGCTATTTGTAGCAACAGGGCACTGTTACAGGGGCGGATCCAGGGTTTTTCTTCGGAGGGGTGCAAGACTAAGGAATGGCGTAACTGACTGGTAAGGTAAACAAATAATAAAAAGCGAATACGAAGAAGAAGGCTTCATCTCAAGGGGGGAGGGGGATACGCACCCCCTACACCCACCTTCTAGATCCGCCCCTGTGTTAATAGATTCAATGCAAGAACAGCTCTCTTTGTTGGCTTTCAATTGCTGTGCTCACCTTTGAGTTCTTTTCTTTGATGTTTAGGTGTAGATTTTCATTGGTATCGCTTGGATGACAACGGACGCTGGTCCCAGAAGCCTGGCCCTGGTCCTGCTACAAATAAGGATGGGCATGGAAACTTGATAACTGATCCAAGGAAGGCTGCCAATTCTAAGCATGGCCCCGATTACAAGTTTGTTGCTTTTATGATGATCTTTACAAACATAATGGATGGTCGGAAAGGCCCACATCCTGGCACTAAGTAGTTGATCTTTTGTCCTGAAAGAACTAAACTGACAAATGCCAAATTTAAAGCTAGACCTAGATCTTTTTTTTGCCTCATAACCTAACTTGTCACGTGTTTAACTTTGGTAGACTTAGTACATGGATATTTCGTTTTTGCCTTATATTACGTTAACTGTTACAAACACAATAGATGTTCCGAAAGGCCCACATCCTAGTAGATCTCTTGAGTACTGACAGAACTTTGACAAAGGCCGGATTTTAAGCTAGATCTTTCTAGTCTGATAACCTAACTTGTTACGTGTTTAACTCGGTTATAAAAAGGCTTAGGTCAATGAAAAGGCTTAGGTCATGAACACTTTCTGTTGCTTTCAAATGAAACAAACAAGAAATGCATATCAGAATAGTAGGTTATAAGAGTGTAACTGTGAGGAGAACTAAGCCATCGTAAAAGGCAGAAATCTTGTAATGAGAAACGGTCAAATAAACATTACATGGCTACTGCCTTGTTTTTCGGTTATTTTGCAGTATTCGTTTAAACAGAGATTTAACAAATCGAATGTGGTTTAGGGTGGTATTCCGTACTCCGTATCGACAACGATATGCGTCATCACAGCAATCAAACTGAGATGACGCGTATCGTTGTCGATAAGAGTACAGACCACGCTAAACCACATTTCGATTTGTTTTTTTTGTTTTTTCCCACAATATCAACGTCAAAGAAATTTTTTTCAGAACGCGAGCTGAAAGCGGCATTCGGTGACACATTGACGCGAGCAACATTGTCTGGACACTTATCGACAACGGCAAATTAACCAATCAGATTGCGAGATTAGTAGCAACTGTGGTAAAAATCTATATACACACGACAGAAATATTATACCCAACTGAGAGGTGGTGATATAGTTTATAGAGGTTTATCATCATGTATACAGCTTGTTGAGTCCACTTGCACTAGCTCACTTAATTAGAATTGGCAAATTTGAAAAAGTAAAACATTGCCAAGACTAGAGCAGTTTTCGCGAGCCCGGGTCGCTAGCTATAGTGGTTCTTCGGACTATGATAATCGCTTTACCCAGAAAGTTAGCAGTACATTTTCTCAAAGGCTTTTGTCTTCTTATAACATAGAGGGCAAAACTACTGAATGCTGATTAGTCAATGAAGAGGGCATTTTTTCTTAGTTTTCCGTATGAAGAGGGCAAAATTACTCGCTCACTATTAGTCCTCAGGTTGCCTAGCAACAGTTTATGCTATCGAAAAGTTGTTGCTAAAAATTTTCTGCAACAATGGCGTCTCATTTCGAGATAGTTGACGAGGAATATATCGAAGAATTAAGATACTAATTCACAGACACTAATACAGGACTTTCGGTATTATAACATCAAAGAAAAATGTAAAAACAAAGCCAAATTATTATTTACAGACACTAATCTATATAGTTTCATTATAATTACATCGAAGAAAAATATGAAAACAAAGCCAAAAGTATTATTCATTGACAGTAATGGATGACTTTCATTATAATAACATCAAAAAGAATGATAAAAACAAAGCCAAATTGTTATTCACAGACACTAATGTATGACTTTCACTATAGTTAAGTCAAAGAAAAGTATGAAAACAATGCCAAATTATTATTCTCAGACACTAATGTAGGACTTTCATTGTAATTACATCGAAGAAAAGTATGAAAACAAAGCCAAATTATCAATTACAGACACTGACAGTCTCACCTGTAAAATTAAGGTGTCTCAAAATAGTGCTTTTTTGGATATCGTGTTTTTCCCGTGAAAAAGAAGCCAGATTCTCCTTCCACCCCCCACCCCTCTCCCCCATGTAGCAGATCATGGGTGCAAGATGCATGCAGTCGTGCTGCTAGGTCAGTGTTTTTCTTTTTTTTTTCAATAAAATTAAAAATAAGGAACAGAAGATTCACACTCGACTTACTCGAGTGTCTCAGGTGAAGAATTTTTACATATTAATATTAGTATTAATGCGTAGTCTTAACTCATACATGTTTTGGTTTTTAAGTGATTACGCCGCAAAACTGTCAAAAATGCTTAGAACTCTTACTTTTGTTGTACTTTTGCATCAAACCAAATAAAGGTAGACAGCAACAATTTTTTTTTATTATTTTGGTGCAACTTTCGTTACTAAAAGCAACTCTTGACTTTTTTGAGCAACTTTGTAGTTGAGTTACTAGCTTTTTGAGAAATTGCTGGAGAGTTTTTGCGAAATCTCTAGCAACTTGTAGAAAGCCCTAATCGGTATGGATCGTAGAGAGACAATGATCAGATCCCTGCCACAAACAAGACTCGTGAAAGATGGAGTATAAAGTAAAAGTACCTAGTTCTCAGTGCTCCTTGAAAATCGCGTGTTCGTCCTAACAGACCATTTAATGCCATTGACTTCATTGCCTGAAAGTATGCCCAAAAAAGTAAAAGAAAAAGAAACCGTAAATCCTCGAATTAGCGCCTACCCTCAAATGAGCGCCCCCTTCAAATAAGCGCCCTCTTCGATAAGCGCCTCTCCCCTCCCTCTGTTTTAATGAAGAGTGCAGAGACAACAAAGGATGTATGGTTTAACTTTTAGTCGTCTTTAATCACAAGCAAATTTAAGCACTGCACACTGGCGCAACAGATGGTAGAAAGGATCTGCTGGTTCATTGTCTAAAGCCCAACCAGCCGTGTGCGGCGGGCCTAAACCGGTTTAAGGGGCTATATTACGTATCTCATCAAGAGAGACAGGATCCATCAGTGAGAGTTATCAGAGACTGACACACAAATATATTAGAAAATAAAACCGATCATATCTAACCACCATTTGGGAAAAATTGAATCAGCGCCCCCTCGATTAAGCGCCTCCTTCGAATAAGCGCCCCGCGTCTTCTTCTAAATTTGAAATAAGTACAACAAGCTTTAATTCAAAGATTCATGGTATTTCAATAACAAAACCAATCTAGAGCCCAGAGTCTCTCCGGCTCGGTCAGCCTGAGAGACTCTGGGCTCGAGATTGTAATAAAACCTTCATGGCCGCATAAAATCTCACTTTCGTGCATAGGCTTGGTTACAAAATTCTTACAATAAATAGCAACTGGACACAATTCTAGTAAGAAACGTCGACCAATCGTAGTCCAGAACATCACGACTTGTTAGAAACGGCACTACTCAGCTTAATTAATATGGACGGTGAGTATTCAAGAAACTTCTTCGTTTAGCTTTTTCTTATGTTAATTATATCGACTTTCCGGCGAATGGAGGGCGTCGTAGAAGACTGCGAGGTTTATGTAACTAATTAAAAGTTTCATGTTGAAGGACAATGATATGAACTGAAGAGTACAAAGCGCTGGCGGTAAAGATAACGATAGACTAACTTTAAATAAGCTCTCTTGCAAATCAGCAACACAATTCTTTGTTAAAAGTAAGTTTGTAACGCCTACTGCTGAAAAAAGGATGGTAAAAGCAAATCTGAATGAGAAAACAATACAACTCATTTATAGCCTTCCTTTCAAAGTCACCAAGGACACCAGACTTGCCATCTTTCAATTTAAAATTATTCATCACATCCTGCCAACAAACGCAACACTTTTTAGAGACGCACTTAAAGAATCCGATAAATGTCACCTTTGCTCTGAAAGACAAACACTAACCCACCTTTTCGCAACCTGTTTGAAAGTTAAGAGCTTTTGGTCTCAGTTTACTAACTGGTGGATTTCCAAAAATTCTGAGCCAATGACTCTTGATGAAAACAGGATAATATATGGTTATTAATAAAACATATTAAAAGATAAATAAATAAATAAAGCGCTGGCAATAGCAATGAATAATAATGTTATTTCGTCTTCCTATGCAGAAGAATACGTGGTGACTTTAGCAATATATAGTGGTCTTCCAGATCCAGTTTGGACGATTAATTCGTCCCATAAAAGCTTTAAAGCAGTGAAAGAACATCTGAACGACGCCAAAAGCAGGCGTACTACTCATCGACAGGGGCGCATGTCTTCAGTACTTGGATACAAAGGCTTTCTAGTGCATTCTCCCGCAGCCGAGCAGAACGAATTGGTTGTAGGCCAAGAGACGGCGGTCCAACAAAAGCTGTTACTAGAAACCATGCCAGAAGGGCTGATATCAGATGCCTTGCACAACGAAAGATTTTGCAGGCGATCAATTCAGGAACTGTTTCAGCAAGTGTTCCTGGTGGACCCTCCTGGTGTGACCTAACAATCGTCACCTTAAGATAGTTTCAGTCGAGAGACAGAACAAAGCAATACTTTGAAATGATTGATAAGTAAACTTTCATTCACTGAGCCGTCGATTTAATATTTATAGAACAAAATAAACAGTCACGAAGGAAAAGAAAGTCCCAAAAAGAGAGAATCATTTCGCTTAAGTGTGAGAAGAGGCCCCTATTTAGAGCTTTCAAATGTAAAGTAAAGGCTTAGAAAAAGGAAAAACAAGGGTGATTCTCTTTTCACATATGATGTTAACTCCCATAAACGTGGAAACCTCAAAGGTTGCATGCGAGTAAAGGAGCTGCTCAGTTGAATCATTTTCTTTTAGCTAATCCCTTACCTTACGAATCTTAAGGTCACCACTATTTTGCTCTTTTAATTTATTAACTAGGTTAGTTTTCAACGTCCAGCATCCCGATCTTTGCTCCTGTATATTTTCCGCTGAGTAATGTTCGAATAACCAAGATCGATAAAAAACGGTTGAGTGATTCTTAAAGGGTCAAAAGGGCCGCTTATTATACTTTCAGGGGTGTTCTGTATCATCATAAAGTACCGGTATTAAAACAGTGCGGTTTGTCATACAAGAGATACCAACGAAAATCGAAATCTGAACAGCAATTCGAAGAAAGGAAATAAAAAAACCCCAGTCATACAGCAGTTTTTGTAGTTGTGATTGTATCAAAAGGAATGATGTCATGAAACGTACCATATTCATGCGTTACTTCTTAGAAAAGCAGGAACTCGAAAAGGAAACGACTTTTTAAACAGGAAGTTGGACAAGAGAAACTTTCTAAACAGGAAATTCAATAAGGAAACAACGTCTTATTTTTTTTATACAGCGAACTAAGTGCACGAGATTTCGCTCGTTTCAAGAAACAACAGTCCGTTGCCAAACGAGGCAACAGATGATAAGAAAGACGGATTCTACAGGCAAGTTGATAAGTGCAACAGAATGACGTGGTCATTGTTATGAGTGACCTGAACGCCACAAGTTCACAACAGAGATATGGAAGAGATAATAGGGAAACATGGACTGGGTAGCAGAAATGATTACGGTGAACGACTGTGTGACTTCTGTTCAATAAACGGCTTTGTCAGCACAGGAACATGTTTTCCACGTCGGAGCAACCGGACATGCGCTGAGAATGGAGAGGAACAGTGACTGCATAGAGGGGATGGAGTGGTAGCATGAAGGAAGAAGGTAAGTTGGACGATTAAAGATTACGAGGAGGACAGTGGAAAAGACAGGACGGGTGCAACTTAAGATAGCATGGAAATTTGGAGACATGTTTTGTTAAGTTAAGAATATTGTTTACTTCCTGAAAATTGTCACGAAAGAGACTTCAATTTCCTTTGAAATGAGTCATCAAAATTGTATCGATCACCTGATCACGAGATGGTCACTAGACAGGGCGTATTGTTTATCATCCCAAGATCACGAGATGGTCACAAGACATGGCGTGTTGCTGCCCATCATCCCAAGATCATGAGATGGTCATCATGAAGACAAGAAGTAGCCCCTATTGTCCTTTTTCATCGTATCTATAACACAATCGTCGTTTGTGATTGGTTCTCCATGCGCCTATTTGACATTACAGGTGTGTAATTTTCGTAGCACGTAGCATATAAAGGGAACGTTATCACCAGTAGCGAAGACCACTTGTCCGGATCAACAAGGTTTTCTTGGAAACCCGTGAGAATTCTTTTGACAACGATATCATACACTAACTGAACATGGACGGTGAGTATTTCGATTAGTGTTGATGAGCTTTCTCAGTTCGCGCTGTTCTGGGTTACGGCAATGTAGGAAATTTTCCATGCATTTGTAAAAACTCGGATTCTTGTGCCCGGAGCGTTTGACTTACTGCTCATGTAGCATGAGTAATCAGATGAGAGAAAAGCAAGCCTGAGAGCTTGCAGAATCTGAATTCTTGATCTTTTCAGTAGCTGGACGTTACCTTTACGCTCGTTCAGTGTATTTGTACAGTATCGACAGTGACAATAAACTGATTCTTGTTCTTTGAAATGCAGGAGAGCACAAAGTAACATTGGCGATATACAGTGGTGTTCCTGATCCTGTTTGGTCGGTTCACTCTCGTCATGACAGCTTCAAGAGAATGAAAGAGCATCTGCACAACGTCAGAACCACAGGGAAGATTTACCGCCGTCAGCACATGCCCGCTATTCTTGGGTACAAAGGTTTCCTAGTGCAGCCACCAGAGGCCGAGGAAGCAGAATTAGTTGTAGGCCAGGAGACTAAGGAGCTACAAAAGCTCTTGCTTGAAACCATGCCGGAAGGGTTGATATCCGAGGCCTTGCGTCTGAAGATTTTGCAGGCAATCGAATCAACAAATGTACCTCATCCTTCAAATGTGCCTCTTGAAGCCCAAAAGGCTTCGCTCCAAGAGGTTTCGAAGGCTCCCAGAAAAGAATATAAAGCGGAGAAAATACAGCATTATGCACCTAAACTCAACCTGGATCGGTGGAACAATCGCCCTTTTATCGAAGCAAACAACAACTGCTACAACTATGCAAATGACAAAATCACCAACAGCTTTGCACAGCCTGGTAGAGCCAGTGGTCATCCTTATGGTGCACTGACTCCAGAAGAGCTGCTCAAGGCTTCCGAAAGCGATGGTTTGGTGAAAATGAATGTTGGACCAGACGATCCTTGCCCCGAAGCACCTGAACAGCCTAACTGCTTAGTGGCACTCTTTGTTGCCCAAGGTTAGAAAAGAATTTATTCTTTTATCCAATCCTACCGTCAAATAACTTTGTAATTGAGAAAATCATGAAAGTAGAGGATTTAATTTCTTTTTGCATGATTAGAAAGTTGCCGAGAGAGACTGGAGCACAGTCATAAGGATTTTAGTCTTTTGGGTGAAAAATCTCTTTTAACACAGCTTTACTTTACTACTGAATGAATTTCCTCTCCATAGTTAAAAGACTGAAGAAATCAAATGCACACTCGGGAAAGACAAATAGAGAACAAATTTCTGATTCTTAAACTTGAAACATCTATAATTATGAAACAACTGTAATTATGCACCCATTGAAATTAAGTGTCATTATCAACAACTAGCCAATTTGGACAACTAGCATAGTCTATTGTCACTGTTACCATCCGTAGCGACAGGTCACTGAAAAAGATTCAATGCAGGAAAAGCCCTATTTGTTAACAAAGCTAGACACTGAGTTTTGGATTTCAGTTGCTCTTCTCACTTTTGATTTCTTTTCTTTGCTGTTTAGGCATAGATTATCATTGGTATCGCTTGGATGACAACAAGCTGTGGTCCCATAAGCCTGGGAGAACTGCTGCTACAAAATATGATGGAGATGGAAAGTCGATTTCTGATCCACGAAAGGCTGCCATGTCTGGTATCGATTACAAGTTTGTTTCTTTTATGAAGATCTTTACAAATATAATAGAATAGGTGGTCCGCTTGACCCACATGCTAGCACTAAGTAGCTGATCTTTTGTGTCCTGAACGGAACTAGACTAACAAAGGCCAAATTTAAAGCTGGATCTAGATCTTTTATCTCATAACCTAACTTGTCACATGTTTAACTTTTGTAGACTCAGGACATGGATATTATTATATCACGTTATATTTCTTATATTACGTTAGCTGTTATGAGTTTAGTTCACGAACAGTATCGTCATAATCATGTTGCGATATTTTTCTGTTGCTTTCAAATGAAACAAACAAGAAATTAAATGGATATCAGATTAGCAGGCTATGATAATAAAAATTGTAACTGTGTGGAAAACTTGTCTTTTGTAAAAGGCAGAAATTTTTAAGCGAACAAAGGGTCAAATAAACAATACGTCTCTGTTGTCCTGTTTGTCTGTTAGTTTGCAGTATTCGTTTAAATAAACAATAGCCTCCATTTGGCGCGAAAATATGCTAGGATATTTGTCCGCGGACATTATCTGCTCCGAGAAGCGAATAGTTTTCCGAGAGCGTAGCTCGAGGAAGGCTATGAGTTTCAAGGAACAGATAATATCCAAGGACAAATATCCGAGTATATTTTTGCCCCAAATGGAGGCTGTGTTTATTATTCTTCAAATCTTTTTCGCAACGCGCGCAGTTTTGTAATTTGGCCAATATT